CCCACCCACCACCACCACAAGTTGTAGTGGAGCAAGTTGTTTGATTATAGGGTATACCCTCTTACTCATTTATGAATGTTGTCAGCAGCAAAGCAGTGGGCGTGTGGGTGGTTGGCGGGTGCTCTGGTGTGGTTTGCTCCTTTTTTTCCTATCAAACATTTATCGTCCTGATCTCTCCTCCTTCTTTTTTGTGTTTGTTACTCTCTTGTAACACCTCTTATCTTCCGGCACTTATATGACCTTATTGTGTTGCAAGTGCCGTAAAACTCTTACTAAAACTAATACTAAACTTTAAAGTTGCAGTCGAGCGGGTCGTTTGATTGTTGGGTATACCCTCTTAGTCATTTATGAATGTTGTCAGCCAGGCAGTGGGTGTGGCATAAGCTTCCTCTCCAGACTGAGGTTTCAGGTTCTGTCTTGTGGTACTGGTGACGTTGTGGATGACGCAGTTTTCCTGTTTGAGAAAAAGACGTATATGGTGTGTGTGTGTACATATGTGAGGCATCGTGGTGAAATCAGGCGCTCGTCAAAATAATGGAATTGAAGAAACCGGCATGTTTCCTCCAGTTTGTCAATTTTCATCAAGTTTTTGTTTTTTTAGCTTTTCACCTCGCATGTCCATATATAAACACATTTCCATGTGAATTTTACTGAAACACGTTTAATGGCACAAAATATGTAAATATTCAGTTCCCAGGGACTCTTAAACTATTGAAGTCCCCGTACTTAGCGGCCATTTTCTCGCTAATTTTACCCCTGAAATCATGCTACCCGTACCTGTTTCAATGGCAAATATCTCGACTTCTATGCAAGATAAATAGGTATTTTTTTCATAATAAAAAGCAGGGCAAGTGAAACAGCTTTCAGATGGTACCAATAACTCCACATGCCCAAAAATTGACGAGCGCCTGATTCCTCCATGTTGTGACGCATATTATGGTGTTTGTGTGTGCATATGTATTGGGGGCTTTCACCCCTGGAGATATATGTATGATGTAGGCCTATGTAGTGCGTTTGTGGGGGCATACGTATTGGGGTTCTCACCTCTGAAGATGTATATGGTGTTTTTGTGTGTGCACATGTATTGGGGCTTTCACGCCTGGAGATATGTATGATGTATGTGCGTTTGTGTGAACGTATGTA